TCATAAATATATTATACATTTTATGTTGGCAATTTCCTTGTAATTCATATATTTTCACCTTATCTCCTACGCTACCCCTCTCTCCCTCATGCACATCTTGGTATGGGTCATAAATTCACAAGTAGCGCTTATCCTCCGGATTCGCTGGCCCTTTTCTGAAAGAAAACGTAGAATTGCTTTTATTTTATGTCAGAGTTTTGAAAATCCTATCGAAGCTAAAACTAAACATTAGCTCTTTAACGATGATTGCTAGACGAAATGTTTACATCTCTTATGCGTGTGTAACGCAACAAATAAAGCGACGCAATTTCCCCTGACCATGTGCTGAAAGGACGTGATCAGATCGGCCACCATGCTTAAGATAAGATACTGATTTGTTTTAGTTCATTAATCGAATCACTTGACTCACTTCTTAATGCGTCTTTTACTGTGACTCATTTTACTGACTTCAAGCCTCTTAAACTGACATCTAGTCGCTGACATGCATTGTCTTTTTTTCTATCTTCTTATCGGTCAGATGGGCATTTTTACATATACGAAAACTAAGTCGCTCATGTTGGATGGATTCGCTGTCAAAGACTTCTAGAGTTCACATAACGATGTGAGGATTCTCACAAAGATTTCAATCTATCTTTTATTTTCACGAAAATGATAACTTATCGGATTCGTTCTGTAATGGATATTAATTAAGTTTCTGCGAAAAGTCATTTAAGTTACTTCAGACTTATAATTTCAATACATTGAATTAACTTTTAAAATTAACGTCTAGTCGTTTCTGTGAACATCTTCATTATATCCTTCACTTTGGAGGGGAATAAATGGGGTTCTTTTTATTCTCACTCCCAAAACGCGATGAACTTCTAGTATTACAATTCCTAAAAAGAAACTAAAATGTGAAAGTACTATTTTAGGAGCCGCTACGAATAGAACATATTCGTCCAGTATAGGCCTTCACATATTTGGAATGTTATTTATATGGCTGATGTTGATGAAGAGTCAATATCAAAGTTGCAATCAGATTCCTCGCTTTTATTCACATATTACTGCTAAAATTGTATAGAAAGATATGGTAAATTCCCCTTTCGCCGAAAATTTTTTTCGCCGATGATGAATTTCGCCGAAAAAAAATCGCCGAAAATTTTTTTCGCCGAAGATGAATTTCGCCGAAAGAAAGTTGCCGAATGAATCTCTCACCGAACGCCCATACAAACTGCATATAATTGGTCTCATAGGTAACAATTGTGTTTTGGATAATTAGTCTATGATACCAAATCAGTTGATCTCCAAGTGGAACGACCTTCAAGCTAGACGGCTACCAACTGACTTGGTTACCAACTGACTTGGTTACCATCTGAGTTAGCTACCAACTGACTTGGTTACCAACTGACTTGGTTACCATCTGACTTGGCTACCATCTGAGTTGGTTACCAACTGACTTGGCTACCATCTGAGTTGGCTACCAACTGACTTGGTTACCATCTGACTTGGCTACCAACTGACTTGGTTACCATCTGACTTGGCTACCATCTGAGTTGGTTACCAACTGACTTGGCTACCATCTGAGTTGGCTACCAACTGACTTGGTTACCAACTGACATGGTTACCAACTCAGATGGTTACCAAGTGATCTTAATTTGAGCTGTTATTGTCATAGATGCCACTATAAGAAGGTTTTCTATATTTTAATTTGTACTTAAATACGTGGCGTCAATCTAATCGTTATACTTAAATTGAGGTTCATAATTTATATTTCAATAAATGAATGAAAACAAAGAACAGTAAACAAAGCTCGTTTTATGTAAAAACTTCATATCTATGTTAATTCGATCATTATTTATATTTAAGATGTCGAATACAACATCGGTAGGTAATTGCAATATAGAATTTATTTTATCAACAAAAAACAAGAAAATTGTAATTTTTAACGAATATAAATATGTTTTCAATCAAGAATCAAACAAGAAAAAATACTGGAGGTGCGAAGATAATGATTATTGTGCAGCTTATCTACATACAACTTGTGAAGATATATACGTGAAACACAATAATGCTCAACATAATCATCTTCCTGATCCTGATGAAATTTTAATCATTCGACTCATATCAAAAATTCGTAGTCGAGTTGTCAACGAACATTTATCAGCTAGTTTTATATATGAATTTGAAATAGCCCGTGCCAAACTTACAAAAAGCCAATTAAGTATCGTACCATCTTTTAGAACAATAAGTAATTATTTTAAATCAACTAGTTATTGCTTAGAAGTTTACTTTAACTCAACTAATTATTGCTTAAAAGTTTATTTTAAATCAACTATAGTTATTACTTAGAAGTTTACTTTAACTCAATTAATTATTGCTTAAAAGTTTATTTTAAATCAACTATAGTTATTACTTAGAAGTTTACTTTAACTCAATTAATTATTGCTTAAAAGTTTATTTTATATCAATTAATTAAAGTTTAAAATGAACAATACTTTTTTCCGGAAATCTTTAATAGTCTAGCATATCATTCTGTAGATTTTAAGATTATGAATATTTTTATTTCTTAGAATCTGCACTATATAAAGCACGTTCAAAAACAATACCCATAGTTCCTAAAACATTTGAATTTAATGTGCCAACTTTGTATCAACTAAATACAAATTCAGAACAATTTCTACTTGCTGACTATCATGATAAAAAGTTCGATCGTGTGTTGATGTATTCATCAAATCGTCAACTGGATATTTTATTTAATTCAAGTATAATATTTTGTGATGGTACGTTCAGTACTGCACCGCCACAATTTCAACAGATATACACGCTTCACGGTATATTCGAAGAAGAATGTATGTGATTAAATTAAAACTCTCTTTTACTATTTGTTGTTGTTGTTGTCTTTAGCATTTCCTTGTGTATTTGTTTTATGTACACATAAGAATTATGAGACTTATGATATAATTGTAAAAACATTGAAATCGGCTGCAAAAAAAATGAAAAAAAATTTTTCACCTTCGTTGATCATGTCTGATTATGAATCTGGTTTTATAGAGGTAGTTAAAAAAGCTGTAAGTTTAGTATAATATGAATGTTTATTTTATCTATAGTCTTTCGTTTAGTATTCAAATAGTAACAATAGACACGTTGGTTGTTATTTTCATACGTGTCAAGCAATTTATAGAAAAGTTCAAGAGATAGGTTTACAAGTGCCGTACAGTTCTACAGTCTGGGTGCGAGACATTGTAAGATCTCTTATGGCATTGCCATTATTGTATATACATTTAATAAATGATCAATTTGATGAAATCGTTCATCTTAATAATGAACGATTAAAACAAGCAAAGAAACTGAAACGAACAACTGTTGTTTCAGATGAACGTGAAGCTGCTGGTGAAGAAATTAGATTATGTGGAATGTTGCAGGTTTTGCTGAAATATTTCGAACGATATTGGATTGAAACAATAACACCAGAAATGTTTTGTGTACAAGGACTAGAACATAGGACGAATAATTTAGCTGAAGGTACGAGTGGTATTTTATAAGATTACCATCATAGAATCCATAATATAGTTTAGCTTTCAACCGATTTGATAATAAAATAATAATGTATTTTTTATTATAGGATTTCATCATCGATTTTCTCGTAGATTAAATGAAGTTCATGCTAATGTATGGAAAGTGATATCAACATTTATTGATGAAGAGTACCATGCATATCAAAGAATGCTTTTAATTCGTACAGGTGCTCAAAAGAAACCAACTGTTGCAGCTCGACAAATTGCTTATCAAGAACGTATAAACAAATTATATGTTTTGTATGACAAAAAAACAATTGATGATACTGAATTACTAGAAGGTTTAACATGTTGTGTTGCTAGAAATATTCGGAATATGAAAAAGAAAAAACAATGATTTCTATACATACATATACATATAAATATATGTTTAGTTTCATCTTTTTATAATGTAGAAATGAAATGATATTTGCTTATGTAAAAATAAATTGACTTTTGAACTATTTATTCATATTTGTAGATTATTAGTAAGATATTATTGGTGTACTTTCTGAAGATCAAATATATTCGTTGTAAAACTTAAAAATGCCCTTTTATCAACTGCTTTATTCTGAAGAAACAAAAAATTGGAGTAAGTCACATAAGACTTCATAATTGAAAAAAAAAACATTTTTTTAGGAGGCCTACTTGAATATATTAGGAGTAATGTGCCGGCATATATTAATGCTGCATATGCCTCTGTAATGAAATCTATTGACGTAAAGTTAAAAGAATTCGTTGAGGGTGTTGTTTTAGAAGAAGGACAAATGATCCAATTTTGTAAAGTTCATGACGTAGAAGGTACTCCTTCATCATATGGTAAAGTCTATCATGCTGAATGTCGAAATGATAATATATATTTGATGGCAACAATTAAGAAAGGACAAAAGGCGGGTATAAATTCTAGATCCTATTTAACTACTGTATAGCATAATATGTTTTCTTTTTTTCCTTAGCTGCTGGTGAATTAACTGTAGAAGTCCTGCTAGTAGAGCAGGAGATTCTTAAAATAATAGAAATTGTTTTAGAACACTTGAAGATTAAAGGAATTTATTTTCCTTATAATTCATTGTGGAACAAATTACGAAATTCCTATGACATACCACGACAACGTGTAGGCCAGGTGGTTCAATTGGTGAAAAATCACGTTTTTGTCTCGAAAAAACATCTCCTTGAAAATGATTATGATTTTGAAACATTAATGTAAGAACAATTAGTTTGTAGACAAAATCATTACATGAGTATATTATAATGTAATTTATTGATTTTATAGGGATAAAGAAAATATCGTAGCTGAATATGATCTGCAAGATATTACAACAAATTCTGAACCTGTATCGTGTAATGATCAATTGCCAATCGAAGATGTTTCGATGAGTTCTGTGATGGATAGGTAAGTGTGTCAAAGTTCGCTAAGTGTATAAATAATTCAATTTTTTATCTCATAAATCGTAGTGCTCTTGATAAAAAATTTTCTGATATTTTCTAGTGATGATAACGTTTCTCAACAATCAAAAGCTCCACTAGATCCTACCACAAAAACTCAAGATAGCGACTTAGTTTGTCAATATACAGATCAAAGGTATTTTGAAATACCACTTCACTGCAAAACTTCTGTATTTTTATTTTACATGTGTCTTTAGAAAAATGCAACAGCAGGTTGATAATCAGGTTAAAAAACAAAATCGTTTAGTATCTGAATTAACAATGTGGCCTAAATTTGCGCCAAGTAATAGTAAAAGGTGTACGAGTACGATTAAATATGCAACTACAATTGGACATAAGCGTTCAAAAAAAAACTAAGCATAATTTTTGTTTCCAGTTCATTATTAGATTTTTTTTGGTTTATTTCTTGTTTCTACATATTCGATAAATATATGAACATATAAAATGAACACGTATGCATATGCGGCTCAATAGAGCTTCGTTCCTACATTTCCTTTAGCTTCTAATAAAAGTGAAAGGTGTAATATTCATCCATTTCTCAAACGTAAACGACTAAGTAAGTGTCTGAATTGGTAGCCAAGTCAGTTAGTTACCATGTCAGTTGGTAACCATCTGAGTTGGTAGCCAAGTCAGATGGTAACCAAGTCAGTTGGTAGCCAAGTCAGTTGGTAGCCAAGTCAGTTGGTA